ATATATATATATTTTGTTTTGCTTTTATTTTCGTATTTTATTGAAATTCGAGTTTCAATAAAGTATTAATATTGTATACATTAAAAATAAAAATGCACGATAAAATAAATAAAATAAAGTATAATAAAAAACATGCAAATGTTATCTTTTTCTATAAAAAAATAAACTTAACAAAAAGTTATTGTTCGTAAATTGTTTGAAGATAAAAGTGTATGTAAATATGTATGTATGTATATATGTACGTATGTATGTATGTATGTACGTATGTATGTATGTATGTATGTATGTATGTTTGTACGTATGTATGTATGTACCTGTGTATGTGTGTATATATGTGTATATGTATAAAAGCTATTTATATTTTTTTACTTAACATAATGAGTTTTTATAAGAATAAAACATTTTGTTGGTATCCAACACATTAAATTAACACATCATTAAAAAAGAACATGATTTAAAATCTTTTTATATATTTTAATTAACTATTATTTGTCGCACATGTATTTACATTACATAAATTAAATAAGAAACCTTTTTTTTTTTTTTACGCAAAGAAAAAAAAAAAAAATTGATAAATCATACAACACTACTGTATATATATATATATATATATGTATATATATGTATGCACATTATAACATCGTGTTTTAATACTGCACATTATGAGCACCTTACGCAATTTTTATACATGACACAATTATTTATCTGATAATGTTTATTCTAAAATTTTCTAAAATATTTTTAATGTCTCTATGTTATTTTAATTACTATTTTTTTGTGCTATATACTGTTCTAAATTACGATTGAAAAAAAACTACTTAATTTTTAATGTTATACAAAAATGTATAAAAAAAAACTTACTTTATTTTAATTGTTTGCTTTATTTTTGTTGATTGCTTTATTTTAATTAAATTTTTTTCTTTTTTTTTTTTTTAACCATTATTAATAAAAAAAAAATTATATTAAAAATTAATAAATGTTAATATTAGTAATAAAACAAATTAAAATAAATGTATAAAGGTCTCGCCGGGACTCGAACCCGGGTTGGAGGATTCAAAGTCCTCAGTGCTAACCACTACACTACGAAACCTTATAAAAGTTAGCCTTGTATTAATTACTATAAAAAATGTTATTTTATTATAACTATAATTATAAAATTATCATTATAATCCTTTTTTTTTTTTTTTATTTTTTTTTTTTTTTTTTTTTTAATAAACATATAAAATTATTTGTAAAAAAAATAAAAATCAAAATTTAATTTTTACATAATTTGTTTTTTTCATTTTAAATATTTCATATTAAGTCACAAAAAAAAAAAAAAAAAAAAAAAAAAAATTCTTATAAAAAGTAAAATAAAACAACGTTCATATATATAAATGAAACTGCTGTTATTTTTTTTGTAATTATTAGTTGTAAATTTCATGAATTTATGCTGCTTGTATTGGGTTTTACAAAGTGATATATTATTTTAGTTTCTGATAAAAAGTAAATAAAATATTAAAAATATCGTGTTTGTTTTTACACATATATATTTAGTTAAGTATTTAAACGTCGTGTTTATTATTAGCACGTATATATTTAGTTAAGCATTTAAACGTCGTGTTTGTTTTTACACATATATATTTAGTTAAGCATTTAAACGTCGTGTTTGTTATTAGCACGTATATATTTAGTTAAGCATTTAAACGTCGTGTTTGTTATTAGCACATATATATTTAGTTAAACATTTTTTTTTTTTTTTTTTCACACGATCATAAGCCATATATTTTAAACAAACAAAAAAAAATAAACCATTGTTTTATGAATACAACCCACATTATAAATTAAAAAAAAAATAAAAAGGCAGTAAAAAAAAAGCAGAAAATGAAAAGCAGAAAATAAAAAGCGGAACATAAAAAGGCAGAAAAGAAAAAAATCAACATTTAAGATAACATTTTAATTATATTTGTAAGTAAAATTAACCTAACATAATATAATTTTAATTTACTTTAATAAAAGAAATTTGAAAATGACTATACACCACAAATGCCAGTAGCATACAAAAGGTTTTGTAAATCATTATGCATGTCTACTTTTTTTTTTTTTAATCGATATATATATATATATATATATATATATATATATATATATATTTTATTTTACCCGAAGTTAAAAATATTGTTTATGTTATTATTTAATTTTAAATATCACATAAAAAAGGAAAAACTAAAAAATAAAACAAAAAACAAGAAAATAATTATTAATAAATAAAAATTGGGGTAGAAAAAAAAAAAAAAAAAAAAAAAAAAAACAACAAAATAATAATAATAATAAAATAAAAATTAGAGTTGAACAAAAAAAAAAAAAGACAAGTGACACACACCAAAAAAAAATTACATTCCAATGTGTTTCTTTTATAATGTAAATTACAAAACAATTTTATAAAAAAAAATTATCACAAATGTAAAATAAATGATTACATTTGTATATATTATACTGTTTCTATTTTTATAAAAAACGGTACACAGTTAAAAAATAAAATAAAAAAACAAAAGTAGAAAATGAATATATATATATATATATATATATACATACATGTGTATGCATATAATTGCACATACATGTAAGTGTACATACATGTATGCATCGTAATATGTACACCTTATTATAAAAAATAAACACTCGGAAGTAAAAATGTAAAACATTTGCATAGTTGAATGCGAGAAAAAAAAAAAAAAAATATTTTTATATTAATTAATTTATGGTATATAAAAAGGAGCTGGTGGTCTGCCAAAAAGAGTCTTAAAACTATATGTCTGTCTAAAAGTTTTGAGAGATCTTTTAATTTTATATTTAATTCCAGTTAGAATATATCCAACATTCATATATATATGTTGAATATTGAATAATGTTAGTATAGATAAATGATTTTGAAGCGCGTATGGTAAATTAATTGAACCATAGACAAATTCGACATTTGATAATTTATTTTTCTCTACTTTTTCTAATTCTATTGTTGTTTTTACAGTTTCGGGTTTCTCAACATTACCTTTATATGTTTTTTCAAGCTTTTCTTGATAGAATTTTATTATCGGTGTATTATTTATGATTGTTTTCATTACATCAATATTATTAGTATCTTCTAATGTTTTTTTTACTTCATAATCAAATATTATATTTTTAAAATCTTCTAAAAGCTTGTTTAACTCATTTACATCTGTACATTTAAGTGATTGTATAATTAACTCACTGAATTTTTTTAACATTTCTTCATCAAACAATTCTTTATATTCATTCATCGTTGCCAAAGCTTTTCTTATGCTGTATGGGAATTTTCTTTTCTGCTTTAATTTATTTAGAACTTTTTGTAAATGATAAGAATACCCTTGTTTTATTACTTTTAAAATATATAACAATTCTGACCTATTTAATCTTTTTAATGTTGGAAAAATTTCAAAGCTATTAAATAATTGGAATTCGATTGATTTATATGCTACAAATAAATTACCTAATTTATGCAATCGTAATCTGCTACTTTCTAATTTTTCGTTTTGTATTACTTCATTTATATCTAATATTGTTTTATAAAGAAATGGATTATATTCGTTTACTTGTATAGAATCAGTTTCTGTTGACAATATTTCAATACCTTTTTTAATAATATCTACTGGACTAACAACAGAAAATCTGTTTAAAGACATGAATGTATGTACTATTTGTAAAACCAATTGAAAGTTTCGATAAATTCCTGTTTGTGATACATACATATTATAAGGTCTGTCAAAATATCCGAACGAAGCTGTAAATTCAGGATTACGTTTAACATCAATTAGGTTAGAATCAAATTTTAAGTTATTTTCAATTTTCTTTTGAACAAAACTAAAATTTTTATTTTTTATAAATTTGTTAGATTCATTTACTGTTTTTGATACTTTATCCATAATACTATGTTGTTTAACAGTTATAAATGATGCACTAGAACTTCTGTTTCTTAAACTAAATATAGGTGTGCGTCCACCTTTGTCACCTCTGCTTTCGTCATTGTTTCCATTATTTTGTCTGATAAAACCGTTATTATCTTGTGCATATAAACCTTCTTGTTCAACAATGGGTAATGTTATTGGAGTCATGATTTGTGCTGGTCTAGATGCAGCAATTCTTGTTATATCACCAATATCTGCTTTTTTTTGTGGTACCTGTTCTTGTATTCTTGTACTATCCAAAGTAGTAGAGTCTTGTGTGCTTAATGGAGCTTTGGGTATACTATAATCTTCTAATTTTTGTGTTTCAGGTACATCTGTAAAATTATCACTATCTATACTTTCAATGGAAGATGTCTCTGCACTAGCTTCCTCTTTAGCTGATTCATACGAAGCGCCCTCTTCTTCATCAGGAACAGTTTCATAACTACTTACACTACTACTTCGTGATCTACTACCAACACTAGTTGATTCTAATGACATTCTATCACTACCATCTTCTTCATATTGTTTTTCACCAGTTTCATATAATTTAAATAAATTGTCGACTATTTTTTCATCTTTTTCAATTTCTTCTTTTTCTTTTTGTTGATCTGTTTTAGGAAATAGATCAGTTTTTTTAATCATACCTGTTTCACTGATTGCTTCAACAAATGGTTTACCAGGATTTAAAACAAACCAATAATATAAATTAAATGGATATGTAATAAAAGAACATTTCACTTTATCATAAAAAGAAGATGTAAATGATTTACCAATAATTTCAAATTGATGTAAAATATTTTTTTTATAAAATGGTGCAGTTGTAGCAGTATTAGTAAATGATAATTTTGCTTTTTGATCAGTTCCTCTTATTAGAAAGTTGTCAACTGGAATAATAGGTATGTCATAACCTAATAAAAAGTTTCTAAGATAAACATAATTTTTCATTGATGAGTGAATATTATTTATATCTTTTAAAGAATCAGTTATCAGTTCAGCATTCTGGTCACGTCTATATTTGAATTGTAATTTTCTCAATTCATCTAAATCAAAAAGTGCGTAATAAGGATAGTATTTACCTATAATTGGTATTTTCATATCATTATAAAATGTTCTAATTGCTATGTAAGTTTTAAAAAAATGATCTACTTCTGTATTCATAATATCTCTAAATTTTTGTATACTTCCTTCACTTGTTGAGTCAAATTTGTATATTTGTATATTTTCTGTTGTATGACATTGTACTAGAAAATTTGTATAATCGACAAAATTAGCTCTGACATTATTACCATCATTTTGTAATTCTAAAATTAATTTTTTAAAAGGTTCAAATTCTAAAATAGCATTAAAAATAAATTTTAAATAATGTATGTTTGCCATATGTATTGAAGAATTCTCTAATGAGTAATTAATATCACCTGTTATTGCATACATTTTTATGAAAAAATATAATTGTCTTATAAATAAAAAGTTGGTAAATTTCATGTCTGTTAATAATTTTATAAATCCAAATAACTGATGTAAATAATTTTGAATATCAATTCTAAAATGAATATATTTAATAATGTGTTCATTTTTGTTTTCACCAAATTTATCAAGGTCTTGAAAATTTTTTTTATAACTAGTTAGGTCTACATTGAATTTACGCTTAATGATATTATTTAAAACTCTGAAAATTTGTTTTAACTGTTTTTCTGTATTTGGTGAATAACTTGGTGCTAATTTAAAATGATTTAACGAACTTTTTATGTTACTTTCACTTGATATTTGTTGTACTAATGAAAATTTAAATCTATTGAAAACATTAGTAAATATTAAAATTTCTTCAAAATTAATATATTCACTTGGATAAGAATCATTATACATTTCAGCTTTTTGAAAAAGTTTAAAAACACGTGCACTTTGGATTATATTTAAAATTCTTGGATGTTTATTATTGTTACCTAAAGATAGTAACATACCTCTTCCTCTATGTGCGAACAATTTTCTTAAATTAAATATTTTCAAATATAAATATTTCATTGGTGTTTCATAATAATATCTTCTTTCATCCATATATTTCATTAATGTTAGATATGTTTTCCAACTATGTACATTATTTTTTTTTTTAATTCGTAACAATCCTAGATATAGTAGTAAATGCTTCACGA